ATTTGCATGCTATTTATTCCTTGGTTATACACTTAAACTGACCTGAGCTGCTCACCCTTAAGTAACCGAAAGACATTTTGCATGCTTCTTGGTTTGGTGGTAACTCCAGTTCTCAAATGACTCATGGTTTCATCCTTGTGTTGAGTTTGCTGTGCTCAGAAAACACACTCTGTAGTTAGAACAGCTCAGCTTGGTGAGTTAGTGACGCTGGGGAGTACAACTGGAAATGCGTAGGTGGCTGGCTGGCTGGCTTCCAATCTTGCAGAACAAAACTGGGTAGAAAGTGGTTTCTTTTGTGGGGGCAGAATGTAATGTTGTTTTTTCTTTCCTTTTTTTTTTTTTTCGCTCATTTGGAACCAAGATGATGATGGTAAGCTTAAAGCTCATCATTTATTAACTTCATTATCAATTTTACCTGAACTAACCTGCTCACACTTACTAACCCACGGATGCTTTGTCTGCCTTTGAAAACTTGTACTCTGATGGATAATGGCTACTATAAAAATCAGAGCTACAGTTCACCTTCTCCTTCTGAAGCTGATGTTGTTTTATTGCCTCCTAAGGTACAGGGTAGTGGCTTCCCTAACAGAATGACCTTCTAATGCAATTCCAACTGTTGGGCAAAAGAGACAACTGTTGCTTCTCAACTCTCACTGAGAGATACAGTAGCTTCTCTTGCTTACATATACAGACTGCTGTATTCTGGAAAGTCCTCTGGTCTTGCCTGTACTGCTACAAGCCAGAGGTGGAAAGAATGGCATGGCTTCTGTTTTGGTTGAGATTGCCATTCTAAGAACTTATTCCACCCTGTATCCTTAAAGACAAGGTTAAGCCTGTAGTGAACTGTTAAGATCTGATTAGATTACAGCTAAAATATTTGACCTTCTTTGCTTAATATTTCTACAGGGCTGGAATGCGATGCCTTTTGTAAGGAAAAAATTCTCCACCGAGTCCTTCGAAACGTAAATAGCCAGTTGCTTGTGGTTCGACCAGATTTAAACATGGCAGCTTTTGAAGATGTGACAGATCAGGAGATGAAATCTGGTACACCATTTTCCAAATATATACTATAACCATTGCACTGTTTATTCTAGATGTGCTTTTGTTCTTTGTAATCACTGACTCTAAATGATAAGACTGAGATTAAAGACTTAAACTTCATTTGTAAGAATAAAGCTAAGTGAAGTGAGCTGAAATTGTGTCTTGTAGATTCCTGGATTAGACTGAGACCTGCAGAATGTCCCATGCAGAAAAGGGTTGCTAAGATTTTATATTAGCTCTGATAACAAACTAAGTTCCTAATCCTTTTTTTGTGTGTGTGTGTGTTGGATTACAAAAAAATAATTTTTATGTTTAAACAGACAATATATTTAGCACTAAAAGCTCTTAATTTCTTTAACAGCAGAAGCTAACAATGTACTTATGGTTTTGGCTTTGATTTCTCTGAGGGTTCCTCAGCAATGATTCAGAAGTATATTTGTTGAACATACTTATGTACAATCACATATATACAGATATAATCTGATTTACATATGACAAAGTCAATTCTCACTTTATGCATCCATCTAAAAGGATTTGAACATCTTACCCCTACTAACTGGTAACTTCACATGCTTTCTTGCAAATTCAAAACCTTGGTTATTGAATGATTGTAGAAAGTCAAGTATGTGCTACCAGTAGTCATAAAAATTCAAGTCCTGGCTCTCCTGTCAGGAAAAGTATCCTGGGAAGACAGCAGTTACCAGTGGAATGGTAAGTACATAATAGAGTTAAATTGTTGCAGCTCGCTCCTGAGCAGACTATTAATAATAAACAATTTATATTTAGGCAATGGAATGCACTTCAGTATTCACTATTACAAAACTACCACACCTTCAGCAGGGATGCCTGTTGCATTCAGCGTCCAGGTAGAAGATAAAAGTTATTACATGTGTTGTGAGAAAGAATGTGGAAAAATGATAGTTCGATTTAGGGTAAGTATCTTCTTTCCATACCTTGCATATATGTGAGTAGCAGGCAACTTAAGAATTCAAACATGTGTGAGCTGAAACAAAACTGCTCACATCTTGTGCTGGGACTAACCCATTCCCTATTTCTTCCTCAGGAAGGAGAAGTTCCCAAAGAAATTCCTGGTGAAAGTAATGTCATCTTTTTCAAAAAGACATTTACGTCTCATAGTTCCAGAGCATTTAAGTTTGAATGCTCACTAGAACAAGGAATGTTTTTGGCCTTTGAGGAAGAAGGCTACTTAAGAAAATTAATTCTAAAGAAATTGTCAAAAGAAGATGAAGTGGATGAAACCATGAAGATAAGTTTTTAACTTAAGTCAGAATGAAAGTCACAACCTATGACATACTTCAACAGTCTTAAAATACATTTTGGCTTTTTATAAAAGAAATCTTATTCTTTCTTCATCCAAGGCAAGCCACTTTTATGTTTTTAGCTACCATAAGCCAGTACAAAAAAAAGAGCATCTTACAAAGGGAAATAAAGTCAAAATCTTGGTAAAAAGATGCAGAAGAGTGTTGTCCA